AAATCCATTTGCATTTTATGCACACATATCAAATTCTCAAGTCGTATTTTTCATAAGCCAGGTTCAAATATGTTTATGTAGTAATACCTCTCATTAAGGCATTAGTCTTTCATTTTTAAAGGAACTTTCAGAATAGCCATATGCATAAAACACTTAATGAAATCTTATCAATATATTAGAAAAGTCAACCTATTAAATGTTTTTTTTTTTAGTTTAAATTTTCCTATTTGTGGTGGTGATTACTATGTTGAGCATACCTCCAATTTCCAGTGTTTCAGTTAGCTTAATTTATTCAGTGTTTTTTTTCTTTGATTTTACATGTCAGTTTTTAACTTCTATTATGCCTTTTGAATTACAAGCAACCTTTTCAAGGTACATGCATATTAACTGATTGATCTTGCCTACCCAACTGGGAGATCACGAAAATATGGAGCGAAACTTCTCTAATTCTAATACTGAGGAGCAGAGTATAATAATTCACAAAAATAGTGATGTTTCAAAGGGATGTATAGTTTTTGAATCACTTTTGGCTATTTGACTAAGAAATTGGGAATTAAAATACATAAGTGATAAAAATTGTAAATGTCTTCATTAGATCCAAACTATGGAAATCTTTCAGTGCTACCCTAGCTTGGAAGCTTGAAAAAGATAATGAGGTTAGTAGGGAAGAGCTAGCAGCAGGACAGCCCAGAAGGAGGGAGGGGCCAGGAAACTCCACAGGGTCCAGGGAGTAGGACCAGGGGTCCACAATCAAAGAGCACAGCAAGGCCAGACACTGGGAAAGGCACATAGAGGCACAATTTGGATAGCGGGTTTGAAATCCAGTTTTTAAATTGTGCCTAATTCAACTATCTCTAGGTGGTTATTAGATATTTATCTCATTTAGGGTTTATCTAGGTGTACTGTATGAGTATTAGAGTGTATCTAGGTGGATTCCTATTTGCAAGAAACACATAAAATGCAGAATCTGGATATATTTCAGTTCAAATTCTAGCCTAAGATCATATCTGAATCAAAAAAGAATAGCATATCCAANTATTTCAGTTCAAATTCTAGCCTAAGATCATATCTGAATCAAAAAAGAATAGCATATCCAAATGGAAAAAAATAAAAAATAAATGATATCCTACAATGAGGATAAGTATGACATTTACTGTGCTCTTTTTAGCAGTATTGAACAATAATGTACTTTTCTTATCATCTTGACATGGGATTATATTAGAGGTATAAAAAGAAAAACAATTTTTGATACTCTGAAAAACTCATACCTCTTACAATAAAATAAATAAATTTCATTCAATTAAATCTTATTGATTCATTTAAGCAATGATCTATAACCAATAGTCTCCTAGGAAGATATTTTCTTTGTCACTGGAATTGCCCCAAGGAAGCATTTCTTCTCATATAGAGAAAATAGGGATAAAGCATTTGTATTACCATTTGTATAAATTTTTAATACTGAAGAAAATATTCGTGTTTAGTGTAATATTGATTCTCGACGTAATATTCCTCTATAATGGCATGCTAATTGGTTAGAATTAAATCAGACAGATTCAAGAATGCTGAGAATAGGCCATCTAACACTGGCAATTTTTTTCCGTTAGTTTCCAGAATTCCAATTAAAACGGAATTATTCTGTTGAATATAAGACCATGGTACAATAAAAGTTCTGTGTAATATGTCATGTGCACCCCTCCCCTTCTTTCCCACTGTTCCATCCTCATAATGAATTACAGGAGTGAAGAAAGGAGGAGAGAGGAAAGAGGGCAGATAAAATTCATGTGAAATTCACATATGAATTTCAACTACAGTGGAGCAATGTTGAAGAGCCAGGCCTACATGCATTCCAGCTCTGTAGTTTACTATCTGTGAGACCTTAGGTATTTTTACTTAAACCTCTTGAAGCACAGTTTCCTCATCAGTAATATTAGTCTAATATTGCTGGGCTTTTAGAGTTGTTGAG